CAGAGTGCTTGAGCCAAACTTGAAAACCTTCGGTTATCCACATAGATATTTTTCAGTCTTTTTCATTGCCATGGAGGGGTGGGGGTACTCTCCTATGAGAGTGTCGCTCCAAAGAACTGTTTTCGTCTAAAATTAGGTGTATAAGGTTTTCCCTTTCCTTGGAGTAACTAGACCGTGAATTCTTGCGCGACTTTTACGGTGTAGAGCTTTTTTCCTGCTGTGAATGGTTAGCGTTTTCTCGTAATTCTGCTATTCTCTCGTTATTTTCATTGTCTGATTTCCCATAAATTTTATGATCAGGGTGCCTCGTGGAGTCGAGAGCCTAGAGTCGATCCTAGATCGTAGTCTCTTGTGAACATTAGTTCCTTCTTTGCATCCAGGCGGCAACTACTTCCCACAAGTGTTACTTTTTATAATTTACTTTTTGAAACAATTCCATTTTCTCGTGCGAGGAGATGAGAACGAGCGTATCTTCGTGACTGCAGGGACCTTATTCGGCATAACAACACGTTTTCTTAGCAAGTTTATTTTCATCGCCAGCGGCCGCCTTTTAGACGAAGAGAGAGTGACGCAATCGTGCCGGTTTCTACCAAGCACTAGCGTTCTGTGTCAGCTTGAGGAGAATGTAACGAACCGCTGGATACCAGAGGACATTGCATATAGAGCAGAACATGCACTGTACCGATAACGTTTAGATGCATAAAACGGCTTCCTGGCTTAAAACTCGCCAGTTTATATAAAGCATTTCAATACGCAAGGAAGGATCAAAAGCGTTCTTTTTCGCTGCGAGTTGTTCGTCACACGAAAAATGAACTCAGGGCGTGGATTGGTTCTTCACTTAATCTTAGATTGAAGTGTATCGTTTCGATATCGTAATTCTCCTAACCACAACAACTCTAATTTAGATTGATTTATTCGTAAGTGATGTTTGTTAGTAAGTAATGTCGTTTATCATATGGCTAGCTCCGTGAGCGGGTAAGATGGAGCTATCTTACCCGCTCGGGACTACCCGCCGTGTCCCGCAAGAAAAATTTCCCCGAAAGCCATATAATAAATCTGTTATTGACCAAGCTTGNCAAGAAAAATTTCCCCGAAAGCCATATAATAAATCCTTTATTGACCAAGCTTGTTCGACCAAGATGGCTGGATATTGGCCTCGTTCTTTTTTCTGCGAGTTTATGGACCTCGATTCCGTCTCGGTCCATAAACACGCAAAAAAAAAAAGAACTTGGCCAATACCCAGCCATCTTGACCTCACACTTGGTCGATATAGGAAGTGCTGTCTGTAATTAAATAAGCAGTATATGGCGCATTGTAAGTAGGTAATGTAGCATTTTGTAATTAATAGATACAAACTAGTAATGTAGCGTATTATAAGTAGATTTACGTGCTGTGTTGTTTGTAGCAAGCGTTGTAGTGTAAGCTGTAAATGTAATGTAATATGTGCAGTGTAAATTAAATTAAAAAAAAAAATACGCAAAAACGTTGCGAATGCTTCCTATACTGCACTGCTCTTAAAATTCCATCTCGATAATTCGTGCACTCTCTCCCTCACTCACTCAAAGTAAGAGACTAATTTTATTTTATTTTATTTTGCTTTCTTTTGCCGCGTAGACTGACATACATCTTCACTGTGAGGAATGGGACCAACTCCTTGCTGAAGGAAATGACTGGGAACCAGAACAGATGGCCGACAAACTACCTACTTTTTTACAATTTCTAAGAGAAGTTCAGATAAATGTAACTGGTGGCCAGTGACGGACTGGTTTGACTTCAGAGTCACCTTGGAAAAAGTAAAGGATTCTTGTTGTTGTAGTCAAATGACGTCATCAT